CCATAAGGTAATGATTATTCGACTGCAAGAGAAGTCACTCAAGATGAGCTTCATATACTTCTCTCATATGATCAAAATATGTATTCAAGAATAGAGCAGATGGTAACAGAAGCGGCTGGCAATCCGGGATCATGAGTTCGAATCTTGCTTCGAGAAACCCTCGGTGGAGTAGAGGTAAATTATATATAGGTGTTATTAATAAATGCAAACATTAATTTAAGACATATATCATAAAATCAACGATAACATTTCTAGATAAATTCTCTCAATTAATGATTAGAGAGATTAATTGAAAGAATATCAATCAAAGATTAAACAGATGCTTGTTACTACTTCCTCCATGATCACAGAATGTGAATTATGGCAAATTAATAAAAACTGTACAAACAATTATTTTGGCGCACCACGACAATTGTTAAACTAATTTTAATCTGTGAATATTGTGAGTACTTACACAACGGTTATTAAGGAGTCATTAAAAAGTGCTATAAACGCTTTTCACCGCTTGCTGTACAATGGTTATTTAGGAGTCATAAAAGAGTGCAACAAACGCCTCTCAGGTTTACTCTTTACTAAATTTCAAAGCAGCTGTCAAGAAGTGTCTACAAACGTTGTATAAGAGCTTTCACCAAAATAATAAAGCTTGAGTTTAAATATGTATCTATAAACATTGTATAAAAGTTGCTTCTACTCCATACTACATATAATGCTGTAGTTGAACAGGTTCTCCAAACCAGTGTTAACAAGAGTTTTACAGAAGTTGTAAAAAAACAAATTGTACAGTTATTATTCAGCATGCAGTTGAATAAAATCACAATGGAAGCGTTTCTTCAACAAGAAATTGATTTTGGGTAAACGTTTTACTGAATACGTTAGACAACACCTTTGTGTTGCAGTTGTATAGGTTCTCCAAACCAGTGTAAACAAAGGTTTTATAAAAGTTGTGGTGAACACATTGTGCAATTATTATTCAACATGCAGCTGAACAAAATCAAAACGAAAGCGTTTCTTCAACTGGAAATTGTTACTTGGGTTGCTTCTCCGGGAATAAATATGGGACATGGTACTCTTCCTAATGCAAAAACCACCACCATAAAACCTCAATCGAAATTTTTAACACATTATAAATAGCGACAATTTTAACCGATCCGAAAAAGTTCGCGCCTCTGACCTCTTATATCGATTAATCACAAACTAATCAGCGGAATACGCGTAATAATCCGAACGTCCACTGTGGTCACACTGTTTAGAACAATAGCTTCAGAAACAATCACAATCTTGTGTTAACAACACACCGAAGGTCACCAGTAAAACTATGTGGGCTACCGTGCCCCTTACTTCACAAAGTTAACTACAACTGATCCTTGATCCGGCGGAACCGACATCCCGCCCACGCATGCCAACACCACTACCAGATAGGGAAAATTTTCGCCTACCTGGCAGCGGCGCCAGTAAGCACAGGTGAGCCACCAGCCACACCAAACACAGCCCACAAAAGCAGACACGTCCCCTCGAAAATCTAATTGAGAAATGTATAAAAACAATCTTCAACTGGAACGTACTAATCACTATACTAATACTATACTAACTATACTATACTATACTAATCAATTTATCCGGGAGCGCATTCTCGATGCGTTCACGCACATTTTCCTCTAGTCATTTTTAAACTTTTCTTTATCAATTCAATCTGTGCACAAAAGCAATGTACATCGCAAAAACCTAACAATAGATCAGTGCGGTCAAGTCACACCGGCAACAAAGAGAAGCGAGAACACACCAAGCACCTAAGCAACAGTGGGAAAACACCCGGGACACAAAACCAATCAAATGCGAGTACCAAAAACTCCACGCCAGCACCCTTATCGAACAACAGAGCGAGCAAAAACCGAATTGTACTGCTTGCGAACTCCCTTACCACTCTTTGATCTAAAATTCCAAATAAAGCAGCAAAACTATATGCTGCTGAACCACCGAGAACAAAGTCACATTAAATTTAAACCTGTGTTTAAAAATTGCCAAATATTAGCGCTATAGCGAGAAAAACCTTTTATCTTTTATTTTTTATTATTAAAAGCACATCCATCATAAAACGGTTGCTTTGTACAGACTCCATAGCAACGAGTTTGTTTATTGTAAGGTACATCGGGGAAACTGAGCCCGCGGTGTAAGTGGTAACGGATAAACTGGAAAACGACTGATTTTCATTTATGATGAGATAACTGGAGACTTAGTCAGTTGGAATCACTTAAGGGGTTCCCCCTGTTGAGATCTCTAAAAAAGGAATTGTTTGTTAATTGTTTTAGAACATTAGAATAAATCCAATCACTTTGGGTTTTCAGTATGTTGGCCCCTATTACCAATGTCACTTCACGATGAAGTGACAACTTATCACTCCATCCGGGGCCTGCAGAGATGAACTAGCCGAAGGCTGAAAATCTCTTTAATAAAGTAATAAAAAAAAACTTATCACTCACTGTAAAATGATTCCTATTTGATTTACACGGCAATCACTTCACCGTGAATCCTAGAGATGAACTAGCCCAAGGCTAAAAATCTCTTTAATAAATTTAAAAAAAAACTTCACCGTGAAGTGACACTCGTAAAAAATCCCGTTTTTAAGTGGCATTTCAGCTTTATTTTCGAAAATTTTCAGCCCAAAATATATCCAAATGTGGGCGATTTAGTGATAGAGAGATAGATAGATAGAGAGAAGGATTAGTAATTTCCAATTAATTTCACTACCTTATTTGCTTATCTTTGACAGATACGCGTATTTTGCTAATACTCGACTGAAGAAAACATCGCATTTTACCGAATATATATTTACCCATATTATATTAACCGAATATATATTAACTTCGCTTAGAAGCTAGGTATACTTAAATTTAATCTTATGTGTAGGTACTCCACTGCTTACTCGTTGATGTGTCCTTGGTAGTAACTCACACTAAACAAACTACAAAAGTCTATTCATCCTTCTCTATAGTCGGTCTCCAACAATGTTCCCCACCGGTTCCAACTCTTTCCAGTCGCTATTAGACCGTTGCTTTTCACATCACGAAAGGCTAGGTTGCTGGTCTGCCTTTGAGGGCATTGTAAATCCCTAAAACACAGGACTTTTATTATCATATGAACACAAAACAACACAATTTTACACACCCACCACTTCCCACGTCCTCAATCCGGTTTATCCTTGCGATTTCAAACCAAAACATTCATGGTGTCAGAAATACCGGGCTGCTGGGATGGATATTTTACAAACAATCGCAGCTTGCTCTATGACCGGCACAATCGGCACAAAAGATGACCCAAGACTGGTGTGCGGAGTGACCCCTTAAATCAGTACACCAAATAATGGAATTTATAAGAAATTAAAGAAAACTATACAACACATTATCTTACTCGTAACACAACGCAAAAATGTGACGAGCAGGTTTGACAATCGAAGAATGTGCCTTTCATTAATTCTAGAAGCAGCTGATTTACCAGCCCCACGCGTTTTAACGGCCTGTGGTGAATCAGTGGATCAAAAATGTTATCCCACTATCGTTTGTCACGACCATAAAAAAAAACAGTCTACCAGCGAATACTCATAACCTTCATAAATAACGCCGTGACTCACGGAAAAACAAACTACACGACTGTTGACCGGCCTGGGGAGAGAAAAACCTTTGTCCTCACGACGGATGCATGGATCCGCGGAGTGTCTTACTATACTATAAACGAAATGATTCCCGTGAAATCTATTAGCGACTCAAGAGAAGAGAATAATATGGGGAAGAGCTTGTGATGGAAAACACTCTACGAACATGTGTATCAATTCTAAAACAAATCGACAGTGAGCATGCAAAAGGGCGTAAACGCGATGATCGATTCTCTTCGTTGATTTTTCACTTTTGTTAATAATTCGCTAGATTAAACGTTTCTCTATCCGTTTGCTGTTGCTTTTGATAGCCAATACAACCTGTGACAACTCTGCATGGAACAAATTATAGAATTTTTTTTTTCGCTTAGCTGTAGGAATGCAAAGAGAAAATCGATGAAGAGAATCGATCATCGCGTATACGCATGCATGCACACTGTCGAAATGATCAATTTTCGTAGAGATCTGTCTTTTAGCCAAAGTGGGTATGATCGATGGTTTCCAGGCACCTTTGATAAATAGCAGAAAGTAAGATCAGTTATAATTGAAAATCCAAGCTGAACAATGCATTAGGTCCTAAGTAACATTGATCTATTCTCTTCATCGACTTTCTCTTTCGTTAATTACTTGCAGCGTTGCCAGGTTGCCAGATTTATCTTACACAGTCAGAGAAATTCAAGCTCTGCCAGACAGATTTTTTGAAAGATCTGGCAGCTTCCTATGTTAATTTGCTGTGCCAAATTTTTGCCAGACTTTTTTCGGGTTTTGCCAGATTTTTTTCAAAAAGGCCTGGCATCTATGATTACTTGGATACAGAACCTTTTTTGTCGTGTTTGTCATACTAGAAACTAGATAATAGCTTCTTTCATCTATAGTAGTGCTGAAAATAGCTGGGAATGTCTTAACATGGCCATGAGGATGTAAAGACAAAGTCAACGAAGAGAATCTGTCAATGTTACTTAGGACCTAATGTATTTTTCAGTTTGAAATCACAACAAACGAGATCGTCGATTGCCTTGGAAAATAATTGTTTGCCAAAAAGATGGACGTACAAGAACTAAAATACAAAAGTCATTGTCAAATTTTTGCAAACAATCTTGTTTGCAGCTTCGACCAGCTCCTACGGGAAATTGATACTAATTAATCACAGGTCTTAAAACAAAATCAACAACAGCGTTAACCTCTATACTCATGCATCACCATCGTGCTCTCACATTCTTTCGCTCTCGAAATACGAAACTCCCTAAAGACAGCCATTCAATAAAACGAGCATCACCGTTAACCGATCTCACAGAACCTACCAAACCTTCGCGATCTCAACAACCAAGTGTGATCATTAGTGCCTACATAGAATTCAGCAGACAGCTCACAGCAGACAAGAAAAAAAATCCCTCTCTCAAACGAAAAGCCCGCCGCACTCGTATCCTTATCTATTTTTGTCCCAAGAGAACAATATTCTTCGCAGTCACATTCTGCAGCGGAAAATCCAAGTAGACCTTGCCGGCGACCGGTATTCCAACGCACGCTACATTTCGTCAGTTGTATCTGAGCAGTGAAAGTGAACGGTTTTCGTTGGGAACGCCTACAGTGTACCTTGTACTAACAGGTAAGTCAGACCTTCTCGCCCACGTAGACTGTAGTGACTAAGTTAAAAAAAAGGTGTATGATCAGTTCTAGCGAAGGCGGGCTGCAAATTGCAGTTTGATTACATTACAATTAATTATAAGCGCGTGAATAACGATCTGTTTACGCTGTTGGGGCGAATGAGAAAAAGGTGAAAATTGGTGGCAGTTATAAAATTGCAAAAAATATGAATGTAGGTTTCACCCGGGTTGAATAATGTCAGGTATAAGAATAGCGCCTGAAGGCGTGAGAAATCATTACGACGATTTTCACGTTTCATTAAGATTCTTCGAGTGTCCTTTTGCACTTAGCCGTCTCTTTATGATCTGTTTTGATTGAACTTTATTACGAGATGTATAATTATCGTTGTGTGGTCTATTAAGTACTTTTATTCCATGCTTTTCATTCAGTGCACCCAAGTTGAACTTTTCAATCAACTGTTCAATTCTGAAGTGCAGCCGCTCCACATAAATAGGTATTTGATAACCTTCTTTTGTTTGAGAAGCAATCAATCAATAAGCAAGAAAAACTACCATTGCGATATCACTGCTCGCTCAGTGATTCGTTTCAAATGAAGACGATTTATTCCTCGCCGCAGTTCGTGTCCGTGTCCAAGTGCTGATTAACCTGACTTTGCACTGTGGCAGCTTCCATGCATAATTTATGCTTGCACTTTTAACCCAGCTGAGTCACGTCTCTGCTCTGTCTCTACCAGAATCCGGATGACGACATCCTACAGTTTAGTTTAACAGCTCGTTCGAGGACGTCGTCGGCCGTTGAGCTGACCCGTAAATTGGCGATGGCGATTTTGCTGTTAAGCGATGCAATATGAATACAGCCTAAGCAGACCTAGCGACTGGAAGGGAATGGAAAACCGTTGCGAACCCGTCATTGAGTTTATAAAAACACACACCGGATTCGGAGAATGAGCAAGCAGAAGAGATGCCATAGTTGATCCAAGCATTTGATTGGATCAATTGAATAAAACGAGACGTTGAGAGAAGAAGCATTGAAAAGAGACGAGAGCGGAAACATTTCTGCACAGTGTAAAACGCTGTTTACAATAATTGTTCACTCATTATAATGCAAGTAAATGAATTTATGGAAATAAAATGAAGATTGTTTCCAGTAGGAATGAGTATTCTGATGTTAATGATAATAATGTTTGTAAATTTAATATATATGTACTGCATGCAACGTGAAATGGCACTGGTCCTTGAAGCATAATGTTATAATAATTATTATGGGTGAACATTTCTTCAAATCAGCAGCACATCTGGCTATTCCACATTTGAATCTGATACCTTATTATCTTTCGATTTTGTAGAATTATGACAGACAAATGCCTTATAGTTTTCGTTAAAACTCATTTAGATTGGTTTTTACCTGTATACAATTAAAATTCTATCAAATACCGAACGTAGTAATTCATTAGATTGAATGCTCAATTTAATTGTTTCATAGTAAAGGGTGTGGCTATTGAAGAAACATATAATAAAACGGTCAATGCTTAAAGTAGGAGATATTTTTCTTAAACTTTTACTAAGAGTCTTAGATGAGTATTCTGACAACTTTTTGAAATTGTATTGCAATTTTCTATGTCTTCTACGAATACCACAAATCAAAAGTTTATAAAATCCAGCGAGTGACAATCACTTGGTTACTTTTTTTTAAATCTAGTTCGTTTATTTGGAAGGCTCAATCGCACTAGCTTTACGGAGCCGATAATCATTGTTCATTTTCTGTAACAAAATTCACATATTTCTATGTCTAATAGGAGTTGGGCCGAATACTTGCGGCTTACCCGAGGTTAGAGTGGTACATTTTCGAAGGATAAGATCTGGAGAGGAGCTTAGAGGTGAGGTTTCATTGTCTCATCAGAGCGTTGTCACCAGTGGTTGAAATCGGCATTTTCGTGTGCTTAATTAATAGCTCCTTTATCATGAAACTAAGAGATATGGTGTCTTCAGAGAAGTGTTTCAATATGTTACTGTGCTTCTTTTGATTAATTAATTAATTTATCTTTATTAGGGAGGCTTTCAGCCTTGGGCTGGTTCGCCTCCAACGCTTCTTTTGATGTTTTTAGGTAAAAGATTAATCCCCCTAAAAGTGAGATCGAAAATTTATTTTTTCAACTATTCAAGATACAGTGTTGGTGTCTTTGACAAAGTTGTAGAAAATTTATTTTCAAAGAACTTCGCTGAAGACACTTAATTAATATCTTTTTTACTTTTCAAGATATGTGACGTTTATTGCCGACGGTCCCTCAAAAATGGTTTTCTCATCATAACTTTTTGGTCTACATTTTTACGGTTTTGCCATCTTCTAGTTGATTGTAGATAATAACAAAATACACAATATTGTAGAACACCGCATTGCAGTATCTTCTGTAGAAAAAAAGTTATGGAAGTTTTTGTAGAACTTGTAACTTAGCAGGGGGCAAAATGGGGCAATATACCCATGGTGCATCTGAAATTTTAATAAATTTACTTCAAAATGATAGCAAACATCTGTGAATGTAAGCTGTTGGAAGGTATGTTTCGTATTAAAACTTTTTCTTCGTTATAGTAGAAAAATACGGCATGCTAATTGGTTTCAATTTAATTTAATTAAATTTAACTGATAATAAAAGTTTTTTCAACATGTCTATTTCATAAATCGCTGTCGTCCTCGCTTTTGGTTTCGTTGTCGTTCTCGTTGTCATTCTCAGTATCGTAAGAAAAACTTTTCAAAAGGCTTTTCGCGTCATCCGGTTTTTCGGTTTTCTTCGGCCATCCTCGAATACTTGTGATCAATGGATCAGAAGATACTAGTAGCATGTTCAGAAGATCACGATTCGTAGCTTGTCTTGAATGCTTTCGGGTGTTGAATTCTCGGTATGTGTTGGATGGGTTAAAATATTTCAAAAAAATAATTACATCATGAAGCTTGCTACCTACCTTTTCCAATCTTTATTTCTTGCCTCTTGCGCTTCTTCTGAGAGTTGTCCGATTGGTACCATAAAATTGTCAATTATGGAAGACCCATGTATAAGAACCTTATGGACACTTGCTGGTAGATTGTACCAGGGATATAATTTCGCCAACAAGCGTGCTGTCTCAACACAATAGTTGTCAAATGATATTGAATAGATTTCGGTTAGTGATGTCTGCTACTTGTTTAGCGTTCGCAAAAAAGCTCTTCTGCTTGATGTTTATCGATTTCAACTGGAATATAAGAATGATTTAAAAATAGTTCTTGGCATAAATTCCAAAACATAGCCAGTCAAATTTCAAATTAAGATATTTTACATACCGATGGAGGCCATTTATACAGTTGAAAACTGGGCACTGTTACCGTGATTCGTGTACACAATAGAGCTTTCAAACCACTCAATGTCCAACAAATAATTAAGATTTAACAATGTTATTTTACTTCACTTGACGATGGTTGCTAAGGGACTCAGAAAAATTATTGAAGTCTTGGGTCATGGCTTACTTGATTTCAACAGTAGCATTATAATGTATACAAGATATCTTATCGCTTACATTCACAGATGTTTGCTATCATTTTGAAGTAAATTTATTAAAGTTTCAGATGCACCATGGGTATATTGCCCCATTTTGCCCCCTGCTAAGTTACAAGTTCATAAATTATGGTCTAAAAATCTACAAAAACTTCCATAACTTTTTTTACAGAAGATACTGCAATGCGGTGTTCTACAATATTGTGTATTTTGTTATTATCTACAATTAACTAGAACAAAGCCGAAAAAATGTAGACCAAAAAGTTATGATGAGAAAACCATTTTTGAGGGACCGTCGGCAATAAACGTCACATATCTTGAAAAGTAAAAAAGATATTAATTAAGTGTCTCGAGCAAAGTTCTTTGAAAAGAAATTTTCTACAACTTTGTCAAAGACACCAACACTGTATCTTGAATAGTTGAAAAAATAAATTTTCGATCTCACTTTTAGGGGGATTAATCTTTTACCTTAAAACATCAAAAAAAGCACAGTAACATATTAAAACACTTCTCTGAAGACACCATATCTCTTGGTTCCATGATAAAGGAGCTATTAATTAAGCGCACGAAAATGCCGATTTCAACCACTGAAGTTCGACCGGCTATTGTGACCAGTAGGCGACAATGAGACTTATAAAAACGGGAGGACAAGACAATCAAAAACTAATAAAGAGAGACAAAAGACAAAGGGATTGAATTCTTATACTAGACATTTGCAGAAACTCATATATCGACTGCATATAGCAGAGATCGCAGGTTCCCAACACGTCTCTGATAGGGATTCAAAAGTCGCTCTCTGGCAGCGTAATGTAGGGATAATTGCCAAACTGCGTGATCGATGTCATCCTAACCACAACGACAGATGTTGTTGTTTAAAAGATTTATTCTATGGAGATGCGCAACTAGCTATAAGTGGTTGGACATAAGTCAATTTATCACGACTTAAGCCGAAGCCTAACACCACGCTCTCGAATAAACATTAGGAATAATTGAATGTAACCACCGTCCAAGATTTCCAGTGCCTAATCAGGTTGCCAGCTCGAAAGGGTACTCTGACGCACTAAATGGTAAAATTGATGGTGGGAAAAATTTACCTATCATACAATTCGCCTTCCTGCCGCCCACCTTTGCGAGACAGTCCTCGAGAAAGAGAAATATGAGGGGACCCATACAAAGGTAATCATATATGATCTTTCGACCAGCACACTCATCTACTCTATTACCTTTGAAAGGACATACTGCCTACCTGTTTTCATCGACCGAATAGCTTCAATCGAACTGAGACTATCGGAGACGATGAAGTAATGGCCTGCGGGCATGTTGGAAATCATCCTCAATGCGAAGTCATATCAGCAACAAATACGGACCAAGGTTTCTGAAGTTTGCGGAAGGCGTTAGAGTTTTCATTGAAGACACCGAAGCCAGTGAATCCATTGAGACGAGACCCGTCTGTAAAATATCTTTTCACGCATTTGACG